ACTATTGCAGAAGTATAGGGCGAGTTACTTTCTCTTATAAAGCCTCTTTTCAATAATTCATCTATTTGGTCATCTACTTCTTTTTTCTCTTGGTATGAAAGTCTTCTTGGAACGGAGCGTACAGGTTCTTCTGTCTTCAGTTTTAGATTCATTTCATAATTATGCTGAATTGCTGGGATATTACTTAAATCTGAATAGTTAAATTTGATCACTTCAAGGATTTACTACGTTCTTCATCACTCCGCCTCGGGTCTATATTGAAGCAGTCATCTTCATTTGTTATATCAATACTATATATATATGGTATATCTATGTCAGATATTCCTAATGTTTCCCTTGCCATATGCTCATTATCTTTTAAAAAATAGTCACTACTTTTTAAATTTAGCTGGTCACTAATCTTATTATCATCATTTCCATCCTTCACTAAATCATTGTTATTGCTATCTGATAATCTCAACTCATTATTTATATTTGTCAATACTATGTTTTCAATTGGGTCGCCGTCAATGTTTACCAATATTTTATTTTCAATTTCACTGTCAATGTTTACTAATACTCTTTTTTCAATTAAGTCACTGTCACTTATTTCTACAGTTCTGTTTTCTATTAAGTCCCTGTCACTGTTCACTATTTCCTATTAAGTCACTGTCACTGTTCACTAATATTCTATCTTCCATACTGACTTGCATTACTCGTTTTAAATTTTCAATTCTATTTTCAACGAGAAGGAACGTGTGAGTCGCTTCTGGGGACGCGACTCTACTTATACCCGTACTCAGTCAGTATATACATTTTTGAGCATGATTTTTTAGAATTTTAGAATTAAAAAAAAAATTTTACATTTTACATTTTTTTGCTACATTTGTTATCTACATCTCATCTACAATGTCTATTCTACATCTAACATGTAGATTGTACATGTTCCATTCATATTCTACATCTCCTCCGCTAGGGGTTGCTCGCGCACTGAACGCGGCAGAGTGTGCGAGCGAGAAGGAAAATTAGTTGCGTTGTCGTTGGCGGGAGGGGGGGGGGAAGCAACTGAAAATTAATTTCTTCATTCTGGCTATAATTATGATCCGATCTGATTCAGATTCGGCAATCTGGTAGATATGGGCATTCTCTACGATACTGCGTTTTTAGTTTTATCGTATCTTTAAAACTGTGCCTGCCACAGATTTTCGTCTTTTGTGTGGGCGGAAGGGGGCGGGGCGAAATTTTGAAATACACTTGTAGCAGTGTGATATCACATGAGTCTGGAAACCAAATTTGGTTTCTCTAGCTCTTATAGTCTCTGAGATCCAGGCGCTCATCAAGACGGACGGACGGACAGACGGACATGGCTATATAGACTCGGCTATTGATGCTGATCAAGAATATATATACTTTATGGGGTTTCCTTCTCTGCGTTGCACACATCCACTTTTACCACAAATCTAATATACCCCTTAACTCTTTTTGGAGTACGGGTATAAAAATCAATTTTATTCCATAATGTTCAAGGAAACTACGCCCCAGAAGGACATTACTAGATACATAATCATTGGGTACAACGTAAAATATGAGTTCTTTCTCTATGTTATAAAAATTTACTTTAACAACTATTTTTCCAAAAGTGCTTATTCTTGAACCATTTACTCCACAATACTCAGTTGGTCTTAGTACATCATCAAAATTTACATAAGGCATCGCCGCACGCTGCATCAAATTAATAGCGCTACCGGTGTCCAACATGGCAGAAAGAAATTTAATATGATACCTGCGTTTTATATCAGTGTAAAAATATACCCCTACCTGATTCATAATAGGAACAAACATATTGTGCTGCTCTCCGTCGTCCATCATCGGCTGGTTGCTGGCTGTATTCACGGATCGTTGAGTTGGCACAGGCTTCTGTTGGCAATCCTTCACCTTGTGCTGCATGGACCCACACTGGAAGCACGATCCCTTCTCCCGCAGAGGTGCGGGACACGATGAAGCGTAATGTCCATGCGCTGAACAATTATAGCAGCGCACCTGGTTCTGGTCAGGTCCTGATGCACTCATCTCAGACCGCTTGAAAGTCGGTTGGGTACTCTTCCTTAAAGCCTCGTATTGACGGGCCAGCTCCTTAAGTTTTCCAATGGTCGTCGCTGAATACAATAAGGCGATACTGGTAGAACGATCGCGAAAACCATCAATGATAAACTGAACCGTTAATTTTTCTTCGATGTCGGCACGCATAGCAATTTCTTCCATCAGAAGAATGTATCCCATTACGGAGTTCTTCCCTGGATTGAAAGTGGTTTCCTTCAAGAGCAGTACCACATCAGCAGTTGAATTACTGCGACCAAAAGTTTTCAGGAAGTTTTCTTTAAACTCATCGTAAGTCTTCGATTTGTCGACACGCATGAACAAGTCCGCCTCGGTTCCCGCTTTCATCAACATTCGCACACAGCGAAGTCGAAAATGGTTGCTTTCGTTCACGCCTCTGCACATCCGTTCAAAATCCAAGATCCATTTGGAGCCTTCATCATTTTCACTGGCGGAAAATGGGACAACAAGCTGCTTAACCATTAGGATATCGTCCGTCACATTATTATCCATTGTCATTAGAGCAGCTAGTTTCTTCTTCTTCTCAGCCACCCTTATTGCTGCGTCGAGCAAGTCTTCTTCTTCTTTTAAATCGTCCATCTGATCGCTTTCAGACACTTTTCCCTCTATGTTAACGTTATGGTGGTTTTCAATTTCCAATTTCTTCAGACTTCCAGATACCTCCTCCATTCCACCACTTATGGCAAGTTTGCGTAGCTGTCTTAGTGTTGCGCTGGCTGGAAAAATTATCTCATTCTCCATGGCGATCCTTTGGCAACGGAAGATTCTTAATTGTTGCTGTGTGCTCGCAGTTTGGGCTTATTCCTTTTCCACTAAGTGTATATCCTAAGAATTCAATACTTTCATAACCAAATTGACATTTACTAATCTTAATTTCTAATCGATATTCAGCGAGAATTCTTAATACTCTACCTACTGTTATGAAGTGATCATTTAACGTTTTGGAACCTATAGCAATATCGTCCATATAAACTACTACATTACCTTCGCGAATTAATGGTTGCAAGATAAAATTAATAAATCTCATAAATACTTCTGGTGAATTCATAAGTCCGAAGGGCATTCTTGTATATTCATACTGACCACTAGGTATGACAAAACTTGTATACTGCACCGAATTCTCTGATACTTTTACCTGGTGATATCCGTGTTTCAAATCTAAAATTGTAAAAATTGTATTCCCTTCCAATCTCTCTAAACAGTCATCTCTTATAGGCAACGGATATCCATCACGAATGCATATCTTATTAAGCTGCCTGTAATCTACACACATTCTATTTTCTCCTGATTTTTTCTTAACTAATACTATTGCAGAAGTATAGGGCGAGTTACTTTCTCTTATAAAGCCTCTTTTCAATAATTCATCTATTTGGTCATCTACTTCTTTTTTCTCTTGGTATGAAAGTCTTCTTGGAACGGAGCGTACAGGTTCTTCTGTCTTCAGTTTTAGATTCATTTCATAATTATGCTGAATTGCTGGGATATTACTTAAATCTGAATAGTTAAATTTGATCACTTCAAGGATTTACTACGTTCTTCATCACTCCGCCCCGGGTCTATATTGAAGCAGTCATCTTCATTTGTTATATCAATACTATATATATATGGTATATCTATGTCAGATATTCCTAATGTTTCCCTTGCCATATGCTCATTATCTTTTAAAAAATAGTCACTACTTTTTAAATTTAGCTGGTCACTAATCTTATTATCATCATTTCCATCCTTCACTAAATCATTGTTATTGCTATCTGATAATCTCAACTCATTATTTATATTTGTCAATACTATGTTTTCAATTGGGTCGCCGTCAATGTTTACCAATATTTTATTTTCAATTTCACTGTCAATGTTTACTAATACTCTTTTTTCAATTAAGTCACTGTCACTTATTTCTACAGTTCTGTTTTCTATTAAGTCCCTGTCACTGTTCACTATTTCCTATTAAGTCACTGTCACTGTTCACTAATATTCTATCTTCCATACTGACTTGCATTACTCGTTTTAAATTTTCAATTCTATTTTCAACGAGAAGGAACGTGTGAGTCGCTTCTGGGGACGCGACTCTACTTATACCCGTACTCAGTCAGTATATACATTTTTGAGCATGATTTTTTAGAATTTTAGAATTAAAAAAAAAATTTTACATTTTACATTTTTTTGCTACATTTGTTATCTACATCTCATCTACAATGTCTATTCTACATCTAACATGTAGATTGTACATGTTCCATTCATATTCTACATCTCCTCCGCTAGGGGTTGCTCGCGCACTGAACGCGGCAGAGTGTGCGAGCGAGAAGGAAAATTAGTTGCGTTGTCGTTGGCGGGAGGGGGAGGGGAAGCAACTGAAAATTAATTTCTTCATTCTGGCTATAATTATGATCCGATCTGATTCAGATTCGGCAATCTGGTAGATATGGGCATTCTCTACGATACTGCGTTTTTAGTTTTATCGTATCTTTAAAACTGTGCCTGCCACAGATTTTCGTCTTTTGTGTGGGCGGAAGGGGGCGGGGCGAAATTTTGAAATACACTTGTAGCAGTGTGATATCACATGAGTCTGGAAACCAAATTTGGTTTCTCTAGCTCTTATAGTCTCTGAGATCCAGGCGCTCATCAAGACGGACGGACGGACAGACGGACAGACGCATGGCTATATAGACTCGGCTATTGATGCTGATCAAGAATATATATACTTTATGGGGTTTCCTTCTCTGCGTTGCACACATCCACTTTTACCACAAATCTAATATACCCCTTAACTCTTTTTGGAGTACGGGTATAAAAATCAATTTTATTCCATAATGTTCAAGGAAACTACGCCCCAGAAGGACATTACTAGATACATAATCATTGGGTACAACGTAAAATATGAGTTCTTTCTCTATGTTATAAAAATTTACTTTAACAACTATTTTTCCAAAAGTGCTTATTCTTGAACCATTTACTCCACAATACTCAGTTGGTCTTAGTACATCATCAAAATTTACATAAGGCATCGCCGCACGCTGCATCAAATTAATAGCGCTACCGGTGTCCAACATGGCAGAAAGAAATTTAATATGATACCTGCGTTTTATATCAGTGTAAAAATATACCCCTACCTGATTCATAATAGGAACAAACATATTGTGCTGCTCTCCGTCGTCCATCATCGGCTGGTTGCTGGCTGTATTCACGGATCGTTGAGTTGGCACAGGCTTCTGTTGGCAATCCTTCACCTTGTGCTGCATGGACCCACACTGGAAGCACGATCCCTTCTCCCGCAGAGGTGCGGGACACGATGAAGCGTAATGTCCATGCGCTGAACAATTATAGCAGCGCACCTGGTTCTGGTCAGGTCCTGATGCACTCATCTCAGACCGCTTGAAAGTCGGTTGGGTACTCTTCCTTAAAGCCTCGTATTGACGGGCCAGCTCCTTAAGTTTTCCAATGGTCGTCGCTGAATACAATAAGGCGATACTGGTAGAACGATCGCGAAAACCATCAATGATAAACTGAACCGTTAATTTTTCTTCGATGTCGGCACGCATAGCAATTTCTTCCATCAGAAGAATGTATCCCATTACGGAGTTCTTCCTGGATTGAAAGTGGTTTCCTTCAAGAGCAGTACCACATCAGCAGTTGAATTACTGCGACCAAAAGTTTTCAGGAAGTTTTCTTTAAACTCATCGTAAGTCTTCGATTTGTCGACACGCATGAACAAGTCCGCCTCGGTTCCCGCTTTCATCAACATTCGCACACAGCGAAGTCGAAAATGGTTGCTTTCGTTCACGCCTCTGCACATCCGTTCAAAATCCAAGATCCATTTGGAGCCTTCATCATTTTCACTGGCGGAAAATGGGACAACAAGCTGCTTAACCATTAGGATATCGTCCGTCACATTATTATCCATTGTCATTAGAGCAGCTAGTTTCTTCTTCTTCTCAGCCACCCTTATTGCTGCGTCGAGCAAGTCTTCTTCTTCTTTTAAATCGTCCATCTGATCGCTTTCAGACACTTTTCCCTCTATGTTAACGTTATGGTGGTTTTCAATTTCCAATTTCTTCAGACTTCCAGATACCTCCTCCATTCCACCACTTATGGCAAGTTTGCGTAGCTGTCTTAGTGTTGCGCTGGCTGGAAAAATTATCTCATTCTCCAGCAGCCACTCTGTAATTTTTTCTTTGTCCATCATTTCATCAGCCATTTATGAAATGATGAAAATACTTATTGTCGTGGATGCCACTGATCCTATACTTATGTAGGCTTGTACTTTAAAGTGTCTCGATCCCACTTCTGAAGTTATTGTCGCAGAATATCCACGGATGTTTATTTAATTCTTTGATTTGTTCCGCAGGTCAAATGTTAGTACCCCTCTCAATTTCGTTCAGCCAGGAAGTCCTCTGTCTCCCTCGCTCCGATCTCTCGTTTAGTGTCAATCAATACTTATACGACCAAGACGATATTTTACGCAAGGTGCAAGAGTCGATATTATGTGGGTTAACAATACTAGTGATATTCCCTCTCTGACCTAATTCCACATAGTTCTAGTTCGCAGAACTAGACCTATCGAAACTTATTACGATATTTTATACAAGGTGCGGTGGGTGGTTGTTGTCTTTTTTAAAACACGTGATATCGCAAGGCATGCTTTTTCTATCTCTCTCTTTCTGTCTCCCAATTTTGCCTGGTTGTTTCAAAAGGGACACACTGATTTGTTTATGTGGGAGGGGCTGATTGTTTTAAGTCTTAGAATCTAAGACATTAACAAGCAGACTACGCTTCTTGGTCACAATATCTAACAGAGATAGAGTGCGCCGCCCAACAGTAGGGTTTGTGGTTTAATTGCGTGGGATTAATATTACTCATTGATGGTAACGGAGCAGTGCAGGGGTAAAGCAGACCGCACACTACATGCTGAAGAGTGTGTGAGTGAGAGACAATGAGTAAGCGCATGGGGTAGGTTAGCTATGGAAAAACAATTTATTTTTTCTTGCTATAATAATGATCCGATCTGATCTAGAGTCTGGTAGATATGGGCATTCTCTACGATTCTTCGTTTTTAGTTTTATCGTATCTTTAAAATTGTGCCTGCCACAGATTTTCGTTCTTTGTGTGGGCGGAAGGGGGCGGGGCGAAATTTTGATATACACTTGTAGCAGTAGGATATCACATGAGTCTGGAAACCAAATTTGGTTGTCCTAGCTCTTATAGTTTCTGAGATCTAGGCGCTCATCGAGACAGACAGACAGACAGACGGACAGACAGACATGGCTATATCGACTCGGCTATTGATGCTGATCAAGAATATATATACTTTATGGGGTCGGAAAATTTTCCTTCTCTGCGTTACACACATCCACTTTTACCACAAATCTAATATACCCCTTAACTCTTTTTTGAGTACGGGTATAAAAAACCCACTGGAAAATAGGATAGTTCATTCGAACCCACATCAGTCATGGTCAGGTAAAAGTCTCTATAGGACTTCACCTGCTATCCTAAGCTTGAATAGCGAATGAAATTTAGCGGAAATTAAAGGTAAATCATCAAGCTGCTTTGGTGACACTATCCAGTGCACAAAAAAACGAGAAGGAACGTGTGAGTCGCTTCTGGGGACGCGACTCTACTTATACCCGTACTCAGTCAGTATATACATTTTTGAGCATATGATTTTTTAGAATCTTAGAAAAAAAAAAAATTTTACATATTACATTTTTTTGCTACATCTGTTATCTACATCTACATATTTTATGTATATTCTACATCTAACATGTAGATTATATATGTACCATTTAGATTCTACATCTCCTCCGCTAGGGGTTGCTCGCGCACTGAACGCGGCAGAGTGTGCGAGCGAGAAGGAAAATGAGTTGCGTTGTCGTTTGCTGGAGGGGGCAGGGGAAGCAACTGAAAATCATTTCTTCATTTTGGCTATAATTATGATCCGATCTGATTCAGATTCGGTAGTCTGGTAGATATGGGTATTTATCGTATCTTTAAAATTGTGGCTGCCACAGATTTTCGTCCTATGTGGGGGCGAAAGCGGGCGGGGCGAAATTTTGAAATACACTTGTAGCAGTGTGATATCACATGAGTCCGGAAACAAAATTTGGTTCCTCTAGCTTTTATAGTCTCTGAGATCCAGGCGTCAAACAAGACAGACAGACGGACAGACAGACATGGCTCTATCGACTCGGCTATTGATGCTGATCAAGAATATATATACCTTATGGGGTCGGAAACGTTTCCTTCTCTGCGTTACACACATCCACTTTTACCACAAATCTAATATACCCCTTAACTTTTTTTTGAGTACGGGTATAAAAACATAATTAACAGCTTTAAATAATTATATTTAGTTTCCTATTTCTGTGAATAATGTTTTATACAAATAACATAATTTTGATATTTATATCGAATTAATAATACTGTCTGCCAAACTCTTTTTTAACGAGAGGGAATGTTGTGAGTCCAGCGAGTTACCGTACCGGTACCCGGCCACCCGCCGGCCAAACCTCCTCGAGCTACACTGCAATCGTCGGCAGAGGGGTGACGCAAGTTCAGTGCTCCAGACCAAAATGCAACGTCAGCATTTTGACCAGATGGCAGGCAGACCACTACTCGACACAACGTGACAACAAAGTCACTATAAAAACATACAAACAAACATACATATGATAAGATATAAGAAACATAAGCAAAAGCTTTTATTGTAATAAAGATCAGTCGAAACAGGAACATTGAACGACGAAGAGTCTTAAATTATTTGCGGATTAGCATAATTACTATAGTTTGAACGGTCACCTCAGCCGGAAGTACAAGCGTGGATACCTGGAAAATCTGGAATACCCGGAGGACTGAGGACTGGACCATGATCTGGATCATCAGTATATTAATTATCAGTAAACAGTGATTAAATAGAAGGGCGGAAGTGAGGTTCGCTTCAGCACGTTGTGTAGCCAAGTGTATTAGGATACCACTGTATCGCGCAAGGGTATCTGAATAACACTATGAAAAAAAAAGTAAATAAATATGTGTGTAACAAAATTGAAGGGAATAAGGTTAAAACTGCATCGCGCAAGGGTACCTGACAGCCACTATGGAAAAAAAATCAAATAAAAAAATAAAAAAAATAAATAAATATGCGTGTAAATTAAAAATTGAAGGGAATAAGGTTACCACTGCCAAAATGTTGAAGTAAATAAGGGTATCACTGCATTGCGCAAGGGTACCTGACAATCACTATATAGAAAAAAAATAAAAAATTAAATAAAGATGTATATAAATGGAAAATTAAAGAATATAAGGGTATCTACCAATCAGGTTATCGCAACGGCACAAAAGAATAAACAAAGACTCGGCTATTGATGCTGATCAAGAATATATATACTTTATGGGGTCGGAAACGTTTCCTTCTCTGCGTTACACACATCCACTTTTACCACAAATCTAATATACCCCTTAACTCTTTTTTGAGTACGGGTATAAAAACATAATTAAAATCGAACTGTTGAGGCAAATCACTTGCCCTTGTTTAAAAAGGGTATAAAAAGGCTTCACTTTACTGATCTTTGAAATTGATCGTGAAACAAAAAGGAAGATAGTAGTTGGCCATCAGCAATGTAAAGTGAGCCTCTTTCGTTTTCATTTATATAAAACAAATACGTTGTGGCCCCACGTTGGGCGCCAAATATATATAATTCATATTTTATAATCATTATTGTAATGGATAACGATTGGTAGGCAAGATGGTTAACCCAGAGATTGACCCCCACGCTGTTATTCCGGCTACTGTCTCGTCGGCTTTTATAGTCAACTCTTCTATAGTCAACTCTTAGACCTACGTGTGATATATATAATAAAAAAACAGTGCGAAAACATTTAAAGCCATAAACAAGAACATTTACAGAACCGGAGAGAAAAAAAACTTTTGGCCAATAGACTTCACTCATACGTAACACACGTAACAAAAACGAACGTACACGTCCTCAGATGGTATGGAGGAACACGCCCACCCTTCCTTGGTCATTTATTGCCAGCTTCCAATCATTATTACCCCTTTCTCAGGGCCTACAACTACAGGGCTGGGTATCGAAGATCATTAAAGATTTTTTTCTACTCAAACATTATAAACGATATTTATTAATATTAAAAATGACATTTAACTTTTTCGAAATTCTTTATTTTTCGATATCGCTCAGCAACAGCTAATCGCTCTCTCCGCACTCTGAGCTCTGGCTATATGCTCCCCTATATGGTCATTGACCTATTCAAATTCCTGACTCCAATCAAAATGTGTAAATGAAATAAAAATCACTTCGGTGTAACCGAGTACGACAAACAATATGCAACAATAAAATCTTACTCACTCTTTGCGGTCCATCGGCGAAAGCGCTTTCACGTAGCCCGCTGTGAATTTGGAAGGTTATGTACTTTTTGACAAGGTCTACCTAGATATTTATTTCACACACACCACTCAGAAACACAAAAAATAAAAAATAAAGAAACTAATGCACTTAAATATTTACCGTAATCTAATGCACTAACATACTAGATTTCGTGTTCTCTCTTCGCACTTTTCCCTTCTCCTCTTTATGCTCCCCTCGTATGCCGAAAATTCGAAATGCTCTCTCGCACTATATGCGCTCGGTGGCACCGTGGGACATAAAACCCTTTTCTTACGTTGCAATTTCCATTTAAAACTTCTGATTAACTAATCTTTTAAATGTTTTTTTAACTTCGGGATTGTAATATTCACATACTTAATGTGAGGGAGAAAGTAACCCGCTAATCTCGAGCTCTCTTCTACCGTAGGGCCATGCCCCCTATTAGGTTAGGAACATTTTTTTTCTCTCTTCTCTCACTCAACAATTATTTCCACTTTCACACTTTTTACACGCGACGATCTTTTCTTTTAATTTATGCTTAAATCATAAAATATTCACTATTTTTCCCCGACGTAACCCCGAAAAAGCATATACTGCTCGTTGCGGCTCCGCTCTGCCGTCTGTCCCTAACTTTGGAGCCCCTCTGCCTAGCTCGAATTTTCGAACTCGCTCTCGATGGCCGTTCCCCTGGTTTTTGTTTCCCCGCAGCTTTACATTCCCCTCTTGATCGGATGCACTGCTGATATTTCGCTGCTTATCGCTGCCTTTTGCATGAGTAAAACTCTAAATTGGGTGCCAAACCCGTGGATCTGGCACCATAGAAAATGTGAAATTCCTTCCGTTCGACTGCTAAGAGTATCCGTTAATAGCGCACTCGCTTCAGGCTAAAAGTGCACCTCTATATACTCTATATAAGTAGGTACCACTAACACTGGTCTTCACTTGTCGGCGTCCACAAAAGAAAATACCGATCGCCATTCTGCGTCGACTCTCTAAACCTACTTTTCTTTTTCGACCCTTCACCTATCAACTTTGGTCTCCTTTCACCCAAATGTGCAACTCGACCACTAGATGGCGTGGCTGGCCCTTTCTGCGCTGTTAAGGCGCACAGTTTCAAATCCACTGGGTACTTTAAAACATTTAACGCCCTACAGTTACGGGTAGCTTACAAAGATTTGAATAGAAAATAAAAATTGGCTAAATACGTGTTTATTCAATAATGGCAATTTTGTTCATATCGTTGTTATTTATTGTATATGATATAATCAAATTGAACTATGGGCAGAACTAAAAACATAATTTAAATCTTATTATAAATTAATTTTAACAATTTATAAACTAAACAGCTTTAAATAATTATATTTAGTTTCCTATTTCTGTGAATAATGTTTTATACAAATAACATAATTTTGATATTTATATCGAATTAATAATACTGTCTGTTTGAGCGAAGAGGCGTCTCAGGGTGTCCACCAGAGAGTCCCAAGATAAAAGGCGATAGAGTCCGGGTTCTTCAAATATATATTTCGGGGGTTTGTTCTGTATATGTATATGTCGCGAGCAAAAGCCGGCCGTTTTGCGTTGGGTGGAAAAGCGAATTGAAGCTCGATCGGTTGTACTCCAGCTGCCGAGGGCTGTCGGCGGCGAGAGCGGGAGCGTGAGCGTGGGCGGGAGCGCCAGCGTGGTGAATATGCGCGCGAGAGCGTGTCGCCGGGGGGAAAAATGCTCTTAAGTACGAGGGCGAGAGCGAGGGCGACCGCTTGGGTAGCTGGAACGCTAACAGCGATGTGTGGCTGGAATGCCCACAAGCGGTTGCCCCGCCAGCGCCATCCTCACTCTGAACATTCTCCTCCCCCTTGCAGGAATGCAAAGATTTTTTACGTCTGCATGCACGCACCAGACACGATCCATCCAAACACCGTGCTTTGAGCCACGGGAAGGCCGTCTGCGCGGGCGAGGAACCCCGGTTGAATGACCCTTGGATACAAATCTGCACCCAAGACGAGCGAGATGGTGGTCGGCTTGTGGAACTCCTCGTTGGCCAACTTCAAGTCGCCGAAGCGAGCACGGACGGTGTCGCTCAGTGGACGGATCGGCGTACGGATGCGCAGACGGGGCTCGATCTTGAAGACTGCCTCCACCTTAAAATCTCCTATCTTCGCCCGGATCATGGCGGTGCACACCCGCTCGTCCCCGATGCAAGTAGTGGGCAATTTCAGCTCCCTAGCCACCTCGGCGTCGATGCAGCTGACCGGCGTGCAGGGGTCGATCAGCGCACTCATCATCTTGGTGCCTGCGAGGACCACCATTGCCGTCGGGAGGACGTTGATGCTCCGGTGCTGGAGCAAGGAGTTTGCGGTCGGGATTGGAATTCCGACGACAGGGCGGCTGACCGGAAGACGAGGGCGTGGTTTGGCGCGGGAAGACTTAGGTGAAGTCAACGGAGCCAAGGAAGAACCAGCAGGGCGCCGAGACGGAGGTGACGTCGACGGAGCCGAAGAGGAGCCAGCAGGGCGCCGAGACCCGGGTGAAGTCAACGGAGCCGAAGAGGAGCCAGCAGGGCGCCGAGACCCCCCGGGCAGGTGGAGCAGAGTGTGGTGGTTCCGGGAGCACACCTTACAGAGGTCTCCACTGCGGCAGTCCTTGCCCGAGTGCTCGTGAGCCAGGCAGTTCGAGCAGTATTTGTGCAGGAGGACGGCTCGGAGCCTCTGCTCGACGCTCAACCGGATAAACTTCCGGCAGTTCCTTAGTGGGTGAACTCCGGGGCACACTCGACACTGGAAGGAAGTCTTCCCTCGTGCCCGTGAGCGATCCGACCTGCGGCTGGATCGGGAACGTGATGCGGTCTGAGGGGCCATATCTACCTTCTGGAAAAAACTAGGATGAAAGAAAGGAATCACCGGAGCATTAGTAAAAAACTGGCATGGGTTGGCATACGGATACGGATACGGGTACGGATAACTACGTTGGATTTAAGCAGAACAAAAGGACGGAGGCTTATGAATCGGAGCCTCCGCGCGAGTAGGTGGACAGGACATCCGATTCCATAGGCAGCAGAACCACCTTCATGATCGGTCTCTTAATAAGGCCGCGGGCCGTGAGTAGGTCTACCACACGGACCTTATCATCGGCTCCAGGATACGCGTTCTGCACACGGCCGAGACGCCATTCCTGAGTGGGGATGTTCTCCTCCTTGATCACCACGAGGTCTCCAACCTCGAGGTTTCTTGTCGGATGCTGCCATTTGTTGCGCTTGTGCAACTCTCGCAGGTACTCTGTCTTCCAGCGCGAACAGAATTGCTGGTTGAGAGCCTTGAGATGTTGCCAGCGGTTTAGGATGGAGGAGGCGCTCGCTTGTATTTCTGGCTCGGCCACGGATAGTAGCGGACCACCAATCAGGAAATGGCCTGGGCTCAAGGCCAACGGATCAGTTGGATCCTCAGACATAGGAGAGATTGGTCGCGAGTTAAGGCATGCCTCAATCTTGGAGAGAAAGGTCGCGAACTCCTCTAATGTGTATTTGGAAGTACACATCGACCGTTGGAAAAGAGCCTTGAAGCTCTTCACACCCGCTTCCCATAAGCCCCCCATATGTGGGGCCCCTGGAGGGATGAATCGCCACGTGAGCCCCTGCTGGCTGTACACCGCGGAGGTCCGAGTGCGGAGGGCCTCGAGAAGGTCCACAGCCAGAGAGCGGGATGCGCCGACAAAATTCCTCCCGTTGTCGGAGTGGACTTCGTGGGGACAGCCTCGTCTCGCGACGAACCGGGCGAAGGCGGCTAGGAAAGTGTCGGTGGACAAGTCGGACGTAGCCTCCAAATGGATGGCCTTCGTGGTAAAACAAACGAAAACGCACACATACCCCTTGGAGATGCGACAGGCGCGTCCTGTGAAACTTTTCACGTCGAACGGCCCGGCGAAGTCGACTCCGGTGTATGTGAACGGCCGCGAAAATGTAACTCGTGAGGAAGGAAGGTCGCCCATTAATTGGGTTTGGAGTCGCTTGCGATGGATGACGCAGACCTTACAGGAGTGGATTACTGCCCTCACGACGTGACGTAGTCGAGGGATCCAGTATGTTGCCCGGAGAAGGCGGATGACCAGCTGGTTCCCACCATGTAGGGATACGTGATGGGTGAATCGAACCAGCAGGCGAACCAGGAGGCATGCGGGTGGCAACAGGATTGGATGCCGCTCGTTGTAGGTCATGGATGCCGAGGCTCGGACCCGGCCACATGCCCGCATGACCCCGTTCTGGTCCAGGAACGGATTGAGGTTCTGAAGAGAGCTCGTAGTCGGAAGTGGCTGCTTGTTTACAAGACAGCGATGCTCCGCCGTATAATGGAAGCGTTGGGTCGTGATGGTGACAGCTTGGAGAGCTGCAGCGACCTCTTTATTGTCTAGCTCTGTGGAGACGTGGACTGGCGTTGCTTGCCCTCTGACGCGCTGGCCAAACCGCCGAACGTAGGCGATCACGCGCAGAGCGCGTCCGAATTCGGAGAATCGGCTGAGAATGTCCGAGGCGGTGTCAGTGGCGTGGTGAACCTTGACGGCTCGTTTCTCCAAGTCGGTCTCAAGGATTGAGCCTCGTGGACAAGGCCACTCCGACTGCGGACCACGCAGCCACGCAGGGCCATGCCACCACATGTCATTGCCGACCAGTTCAGTGGGTCCGAGCCCTCGACTGGCGAGGTCGGCCGGGTTGTCCTCGGATCGGACGTGGCTCCATCGTTCGCGGGGCCAACAGCGAGTGATTTTGGCGACTCGATTCCCTCCAAACGTGGTCCAATCACATGCCGGCCTGTTCAACCAGGCCAACACAATAGTGGAATCGGTCCAAAAGTACACCTGGCTGGCGTCGAGCGGCATTTGAGGAAGGATGGCCACGGAGAGTTCTGTCAGAAGGACAGCTCCGCACAGCTCGAGTCGAGGCAACGAGACTGTTTTCACGGGGGCAACGCGGGTTTTGGCTGTGAGCAGGGTACACACAATGCCCTGCGGACGCTCAACTCGGACGTAAATCGCTGCCCCATAGGCACGTTGAGACGCGTCGCAGAACCCATGAATCTGTACCTTGGCCATCGGGCAGACGTGTAACCACCGCGGAATGCGGATCCCTTGGATGGCCGGAAAGCTTTTCAGGAATGTCTCCCAGGCTTGAGACAGATCGTTAGGAAGGACGTCATCCCATCCTAACTCTCTCAACCAAATCTCCTGCATAAATATTTTCGCTTGGACGACGAAGGGGGCAAGCCATTTCGCTGGTTCAAAGAGCTGCGCGATCTGGGACAGCACATTGCGCTTCGTGCAGGATTGTCGCTCGTTTAAAGCGGGAGGCGAAAAGAAGAACTCGTGGAAGGGTCTGCCAATTGGAGGTTTGGAAGGTTATCCAAGAAGTGCTGCGGATATGAAGGAAGGTTGCCTGCTAATTGAGGCAGAACATATGCCGTGGTCTCGATCTTGAGGCCCGGCCTGGAGGCGGCCCCGATCATGAAGTGGCAACGCTTTTGCGCCCTAGCCGCTACGGTTTGGTTTAAACCCGCGACTTGGGCCTGGATAGCTTCGAACGGTGGCTTAATGATGTTAAAGAGGCGTTCAGTGATGAACGTCGCTTCGGAGCCTGAGTCGATCAGAGCGCGGGCACGGAAATTGGTCCCCAGGTGGCAAATATTAATGAGTGCTGTGCCCAGAAGAACGGTACTTGTGCTTGAGGAGAAATAGCTCTGTACGTTGGGCTGAGAATTGGACGAGCTGGGGGTTTGGGCGGATGTCGAAGCCGCCATGTTGGACGGAGGCGCGGAACGATGCAGAAGCGTGTTATGCCTGGCTCCACAAGTGGAACAATTGTGGCTGCTTGAGCAGTCGCGAAGCTGATGGCCTCTTGCGAAGCAATTTAGGCACAGCTGTTTTGTCTTGATGCAATTGGAACGTGCATCAGCGGACATGTTGAGAAAGCGCGGACATAGTCGGATCGGGTGATTCTCCTTGGAACAGAGATCACACGTCCTCTTCTTCGGACTCACTTGGTTCTTGAAAGAAAGAACCTTGTTCGGCACCGAACTGCCGTGCGACCGGAATGGATTGGATCGGTTGCAAGAAGTGGATGGATTCTGGCCGCCTTGGGAGGGTGGTGGATTCGTAGCCACTCGGGAAGTGGAAGTGGTCGCTCTCAATAGCTTCGAGCGTCAAATAGCGCTGAGTGAGGAAGGAGTCGATTTCCTTCCAGGGCGGCACTTCCTTCTTGTCCGTCACGGACGCTTCCCATAAGGCGCGGCTTAGCTTCGGCAATTTTGAAGCGCAGATCGTTACAAGCAGACTATCCCAATTGTCCGTGCAAACGTTGGAGACCGCTAGCGCATTTAGGACTCCCTGCATCGTACTTTGAAGTTCCTTCAAAGCACGACTGCATTCGGAAGTTACGCGGGGCAAGAAGAGGAGAATGTTAATTTGGTTGGTCACCAGAAGCCGATTGTTCTCATATCGGCTGCGGAGAGCCAACCAGGCGGACTCGAAACCGTCATTCGTGAGGGGGGACTTTTCTACAATGGCCTTTGGGTCGCCCCTGGTCTTCTCGGTGAGGTAGTATAACTTCTCTACCGGAGATAATTTTGGATTGTTTATCACGACCGCGGTGGACAGATCCCGGAATGTGGGCCAGCGGACGTAGTCCCCTGAGAAAACCTCAATATTGACGGGAGGCAGTCGACAGCCGCCCTGTTGGAGTGGATGTGCGGGAGGAAGGACTGCGGAGGGGGCCAGCTGGGCATTGAGGTCGCTGAGACACTGCTCAAACACCCCATAGCATTCGCCATATGTTTCCCGGATGTCCGCTTGGATTTCTGGATCCTCGTCAGCCATCACCGCGGAACAGGCCTTGTATTCGGCCTCGACGTCCGTCCACATGCTGAGGATTTGGCCTCGGCGGACCTCGGACAGAGAGGCGGATGGGGCGGAAGTGATACGCTCTGCCAGGTGGGATAGTCGGCCAATGGCGGCTACCAATTTGGTCCGAGCGGCAGAGGTGGCGGATTGAGCCATTGTGGTGAAGTGGCGAGAGCTGATGGGACTAGTGATGCAGCCTTTCGGATCCTGTTTAGTCACCGATGGAACCTTAAGGGTCACCGGAGACGGGAACAAAACCGATTTGGTCCTTGCCGCAGGGCTGCTACTGGCTGCTCTCGGAGTGAGGGATGCCTTGATTGGCTGTGTCGGAGTAGTTCCGGAGGCGGACGAGGTGCGTAGCCGGTTGAACGAGGTCACAGGCAAAAGTTGTTTGCCGTCCTTGTGACCTGTTGGCATAATTTAAAAGGACCCACGCGAGAAAAAATCGTTTTTTTTTTGGAAGTCTGTGAGGGACTGCAGACTGGTCTGAGTAGAGTTGACTCGGAACTCAGGAAACACCCGTAACCCAAACACGGACTATCAGACAAAAGGCCTCAAGCTAGCTGGAAGGCAATAATCGGAACGACTCGGATTGTTTGAGATCACCTGTAGGTGAGAAATCTCAAACAATGAGTGACCCTATATTGAGCCGAGCTGAGGAGAGGAACGGTCACACTGGAGTAGCAATATTTGGAAATATTGACTGAGCGATGCTCCTCCGTTTACCCCTTGACACAGTCGTGAGCGGAACTGGGTTACTATCGGATGGAAGGAAGCAATGAAAGCAGACACGGACACCTCACAGAAACGGAACAACAATAATTTCTTTATCGAAACAAAAAAATATTTTTTTGTTTGTGACCCAAAAAAAAAAAAAGACTTGGAGGTTTTTCTTGGACGTGGTCGGAGTATTTAATTATTTAATTAATTTATTTTTTTTTCTCTATTCGGATGAACACCGGGTTCGGATGCCGATAGTTTTTGGGCCACCTCTCACTCTCGGAACAAAAAAAAAAATATCAAAACACGCAACACAATTTGCCAATTTGTAATGTAAATTGCCAAATAATTACGGAAAATGCGCCGTGCCTGGGTCGCGAGTAATTAATTTGGACTCTGGAGAATGTGGGAGAAATTGGGACCTTGCGAAAAGTGGCTGGAGGGCACGAATTTCACTTAATCGCGGATTTTCAAATATGGCACTTGCGCGGAGTGGTGGAATGCGGTATTTAATTGTTTGGTATTTTTGTTGAATGTGTGTATGTATGTATATAGTTGGGAGCCAACTATGCAAGTAAATGTAATAAATAAATAAATAAAATAAATAATAAATTTAATTAAGAAAACACAGGTAGCTGGATGGATACTTTTATTGCTGCTGTAATGTGTATATAGGTTGGTATGTGTGTGTGTTCACTTGCACTTGGAGTGTGCCAGTGTATATTGTATTAGGGTAGGGCGCGGATGGAATGCTCTTGGAGACCTGTATATTAATGTCAATGTATATATTATTGGGGTAGGCCGCGAATGGAACGCACTGAAGAAATATTAGTGTATGTGTGTGTGAATTCACTTGCACTTGGAGCGTGCCAAGGTATATTTTATTGGGGTGGGTCGTGCTGGAATGCACCTGTTGAGACACGGATGTAGATGTGTGTGTATGTACGCAAGCCGCTCTTATGGGCTGGAATGTGCGTACATACATATGCGCGGAATGCACTTATTTTGGTTTTAATTAATTTTTTTTTTTTATTTAATTTGTCCGCAAATCATGGACAGACACAAGTAATCGGAAAAAACTACCGTATCACTGGTAGTTGAAGGTGAATGACGGGAGAACGGCAGGAATCGCCGATAATATGGCGGTGTCGAAAAAAGAAGAGACACGGATAACGGATGGCACAGAATGAAGGAATAAGTGCATATATAAGAATATATATATGTACTTATATGGCGGAACTCGGACTTTTCGGAATTTTGGAACACAAATCGCGAACGAAAGGGACTTGTGGCACACGAAAATCGTACTTATCTTGGGATCCTGGTGTGGTGAAGGCGATGCCGTGCTCGAAGGCTGGATCTAGTTGGGGAAGGCGAAGGAATCCGGCTCGAAGGACCAATGTTTGAGCGAAGAGGCGTCTCAGGGTGTCCACCAGAGAGTCCCAAGATAAAAGGCGATAGAGTCCGGGTTCTTCAAATATATATTTCGGGGGTTTGTTCTGTATATGTATATGTATATGTCGCGAGCAAAAGCCGGCCGTTTTGCGTTGGGTGGAAAAGCGAATTGAAGCTCGATCGGTTGTACTCCAGCTGCCGAGGGCTGTCGGCGGCGAGAGCGGGAGCGTGAGCGTGGGCGGGAGCGCCAGCGTGGTGAATATGCACGCGAGAGCGCGTCGCCGGGGGGAAAAATGCTCTTAAGTACGAGGGCGAGAGCGAGGGCGACCGCTTGGGTAGCTGGAACGCTAACAGCGATGTGTGGCTGGAATGCCCACAAGCGGTTGCCCCGCCAGCGCCATCCTCACTCTGAACACTGTCTGCCAAACTCTTTTTTAACGAGAGGGAATGTTGTGAGTCCAGCGAGTTACCGTACCGGTACCCGGCCACCCGCCGGCCAAACCTCCTCGAGCTACACTGCAATCGTCGGCAGAGGGGTGACGCAAGTTCAGTGCTCCAGACCAAAATGCAACATCAGCATTTTGACCGGATGGCAGGCAGACCACTACTCGACACAACGTGACAACAAAGTCACTATAAAAACATACAAACAAACATACATATGATAAGATATAAGAAACATAAGCAAAAGCTTTTATTGTAATAAAGATCAGTCGAAACAGGAACATTGAACGACGAAGAGTCTTAAATTATTTGCGGATTAGCATAATTACTATAGTTTGAACGGTCACCTCAGCCGGAAGTACAAGCGTGGATACCTGGAAAATCTGGAATACCCGGAGGACTGAGGACTGGACTATGATCTGGATCATCAAAAGATTAGGCGGAAACCCTAAAAGGTCAAGTTTTTGTGCTAAAAGGGAATGGTTTACAGAATCAAATGCTTTGCTAAAATCAGTGTAAATGACATCCGTCTGCAAGTTACCTTGAAAGCCTTTAATGATAAAAGAGGTAAACTCTAATAAGTTTGTGGTTGTTGATCGTCGCCTTATAAATCCGTGCTGGGACGGAGATATAAGTGATTTGCAGAGATGTTGCAAGTGCGGAGTTAAAATTTTTTCAAACATTTTAGGAATAGCGGATAACTTAGATATACCCCTATAATTATTTGCATCAGACTTGCTACCTTTCTTATGGAGCGGAATAATAAAAGATTCCTTCCAGATGGGGGGAAGCATGAAGAGTTAATGGATAGGGTGAATAGTTTAAGCAAGGGTCCACACAGAGCGTCGGAACAGTACCTGAGTACACAGCCGGGAACTCCGTCGGGACCTGGTGAAAACACCGGCTTAACTAGTCGAAGATCATGAAGCAGTGAGCTTTCATTTAACAAGGGGCTGAAGATGCCATTCGACCTTGGTAAACTGTATGGATACGGCTGACCAGAGTAGCTTTCATGAGAATAGGTTGTTTGGAAAAATTTGGCAAAAAGATCGGCAATTGCCTGATCATTGTTTGCTGACATATTGAGAAAAGATAACGAGGATGGATGTGCGGACGTTCTACGCTTACTATTTACGAAGCTGTAAAACTGTTTAGGGTCCTGTGAAAATCGTATCCTGCATCGAGATAGGTAGTTTTTATAGCATTGAGCGTTAAGAACGGAGAAATTTGACCGAGCTATTACAAGGTGAGAAAGAGAAGAGGGAGAACCAACTTCTCGAAATTTTTTATAAAGCCTTGGTTTTACATTTTTTAGACTGGATAACTCTTTGGTAAACCAAGGAGGCTTTACAGATCTAATCGGACAAGAAAGTGGGACACAAGAATCAAAAAATGTGTCAAGTACATTGTAAAAAATGTTTGTGCCTTTCATAACGTCAGTGCACAAATACAGAGCGGACCAATCAAAATCACTAATGAGGTTATTAAGCTTCGTAAACTCGGCTTTACGAAAGCAGCGGACACGTTCAGATAGCCTACCCATTCTATCCAATACAGTAGGGCCAATATCGACTGACACTTCGAATGTAGGATGGTAGGAGTCTTAAGGTATAGTGAGCGGAAGGGCTCGGGTTAACAACGCTATGGTCGGATCCGAGACAAAGCACAGATCAAGCAATCGACCCAAGGAATTTTTCACATGGTTGACTTGAGACAGGGATAGGTCTAGCAAGCCGTCGACAAAGTCATGTCGTGACATGTGCACAAGATTATTAGAATCGTTTACCGAAAACCAAACAGTACCTGGCAAACTAAAATCACCAAGAACTATCATATGGTCTTTATCTGATAGCGAGGAAGAAACTGTTTTTAAAGCGGACAGGTGATGCTCGTATATTAAGATATCCGAGGAAGGTGGAATATACGAGCAAGTAATGAAAATGGAAAAGCCTGGGAGAATCAGTTTTACGCACAGGAATTCTAGGTCTTGTTGAACCTGGACCATGAAATGTTCCGACGTGAAGTTTGAGTCCACTGCAATAAGGACCCCACCTCCACGTCGAGACAAACGGTCATTTCTAAAAATTGTGTACCGACCTGCCAAAACTTCGGAACTAAGGATGTCCGGCTTTAACCAGGTCTCGGTGAACACAATAACGTGGGATGAGAATGCGAAACTCTCAAGGAAAAGAGTGCTGAGCTTACTACGCAAGCCTCTAGCATTCTGGTAGGTAACTACAAGAGAGGAAGTTAGTTTTTTGGATGGGTGGAAGTAGAGGTGGAAGATGAGGATGGAGATGGAGCACTGGTCTGAATGCTAGGAAGAGTAATGGGGGGCCTATTCTTTTTCTTAGCCTTAAACTCTTTAACCACCAAATGCTCTGGCCAAACTTGGCGGAACAAATGGTTTCAAATTGAGTTGGGGAGACGCTTATCTTGAAGGAAGATATCTCCCTGGCGTA